ATATATATATATATACACTTTAGGTACCCAAACATTTAAAACTACGTCGTTTGGTAAGGGATATGATTTATCACAATTCCGATTCTTTCTTTATTTTTCAAAGACTTCGTCTGCTATGAATCTTTCTGATTCAACATCATCCAGAACATCGGTTCTTGATTAATCTCAGGAACATTTTTTTTCGTTTTATTTCTTTGGTTCAAGGATTCTAAGAGGCACATTTCGTATCATCTCCCATCGACGACCATGACACCGTTTAAGTTAACATGGCCTTATTTTTCTGCTTCGTTCCATATCACATCTATCGAGAACTCAGAAGACGGATTCGATGATATCGCATTTATCTACACTCAGTGTGAGTCCTTCGATTCTTCCCAACATATTTAATCACAAAGAAATTCATCTTATTTTTATTAGAGGTTTTTTTTGTTATCATCCTATATTTATTAATTTTTTCTGGTTAATTACATCACAAATTGAGGTCGTTTTTCGATTGTATCTAGGAATGTACACCAAGTGCTTGATTAAATGCCATAGTGAAATTTTGTGTCAATATGGCTTAAAAGCATAGGCTGTTATCGAGAATGGGCATTATAAGCATAGATTTTTACAAGCATAACCTTTTAGGGAAAGTAGAAGTATTGTACGAACCAAATCAGTGTTAGATTGGTTTTCTTGGAGACATGTAACTTTATCATACGTGATTCAAAAATTTATAGCTATGAGCTCTTGAATTCTAACAGTTATGATATTCTTCCATCTGTGACACAAGGTGATATATGCAGTCTGCAATGGACACAAACTGCCAGACAAGTGGCAGTAAAGAAAATGCTCTTCACCTTTACTCTGCCACCGACAAAAGTCATGTTGGGTATGCCCAGCCTGCATATGTGAGTGGATGAATGTACATTAATGAACAAGGACAATATTGTGGTCCAAACATCTGTTACTGATTCTAATGAATTAACTAACTCATCTATTATGTGTTGTTGTGAGACTTCAGTCAGGTGAAGAATCATGTTGGCTTTTTGAAGATGACCAGGGAAAGAAACATGGTCGCCATTCTCTTATGGAACTTTATTCTTGGCATCATTATGGATATCTTCATGGTTCAGTGATGGTAAGACATGCTTAACAAGATTGAAAAGCATCAAACATCTTTCTAGTTCATAGTCTTGAAGTCATTTAAATGGGCTATTTGGGGAAGAAGATAAGTTGTGCACATAAGGTGCTCGATGAAATGCCTGAGAAAAACTCAACATCACGTGTTACTATGGAGGTGGGATGATTGGCGATTTGGCTCTCATGTGCCCTGAATTCATTCAAGTAACTCATCACCTCCATGTTTCTTATAAATTCCCCATAAAACATTATCATATAAAACATTTTCGACTCATTTTCTTAATAATAAAAAAATGTTTTTTTTAGTCTTTTCCTAGCCGGGATGGATGCATCAGGAGCTATAACTTTTGGTTTAAGATTACTAACAGAAGCTATTTTCAATAATTACGAAAATGGCCTTCAAAAAGGAGCATGTAAAAACTTTCTTCCTTCTTTTTTTCCTTCATTCCTTCATAAATCTATTCAAATCCATCTTCACAAACAGTTTCATGATTCATCAGATCTTAATGCTGCTGGAATTCAAACTGACATCACCCTCACCCAAAAACTGGTTCATAATTTAATTCTTATTATTTTTCCAAAATTTTTTTTATCAGTTTCTTGATGTGCAAATTGCAAGGAATGTCAAGGTACTTAACTATAACTACCAATATACGTAATGTACATTGCTTTTATTGGTTAAAAGAGTAATTACATTGCTATTTCTTGCAATTTGTTTTTTCTAGTTTTTTAATGAATTTTTTTTTGTTTTGTTTTTTTATCTCAGGTTGAACAGATTTTTATTTACTTGCGTTGAACAAATTAATTTCTAAAAAAAATAAAATAAAAAAAAAACTTCGATATAATAGCCATAAATATGGCTTGAACCTCATGTGTTTTTGCTATTCAACATTAGGGGTATTTTTGGAAACGCCTGCTGATTTATCTTTACTATGCACATGGATCACCATTTTATTCCACACATATCATAACATAACATTTGGTTTTATGATAAACTTAAAGCCAGAAGATATCAGCTGGATTAAGCCTCAGTTGGTTTCCATTTTGATAAACATGACAACTAGGTCTCTCCACGTTTGCCCTATGTTAATATTTGACCCATTCTCTATCACATGTGTTTGTTGTGTATTCATTTGTTTGTTTGTTTACAGGAGGTATATGGGGCATAAAATAACAATTAGACCAAATGCAAAGTTGAGTGCTTTATTCTTGCAAAGAGAGAAGATGTCATGGGGGAGTTTCTCAAGTAAAGTGAAATCAGCTATTTTCAAAGAGAGAACCTTGAAGAGAAAAAAAAAATGATTATTTTTTAGAATAATGGTTTGTTAGCAATTTTTTAGAATAATTGTTTGTCATTTCAAGTCACTTTACTCATTGTGTATTTATATATACGATTTTTTATGAACCAAACATCTATGAATGGTATGTGATTATTGATCATAATAGATGATATTTCCCACGCTCAACAAGTGCTATGGATCGAAATAACAGATTTACGGATGTTTTTGACAAAAAGTATATAACCATATATTTTGTGGATTGAGCTGAAATAGCAACAAAGTTAAATTTTTAACCCAAAATGACAGCATATTTTTGTTTTTAACCCGTAATTGCAGCAAATTTACATTTTTAACCCAAAATGACAGCATATTTTCGTTTTTAACCCGTAATTGCAGCAAATTTACATTTTTAACCCAAAATGACAGCATATTTTCGTTTTTAAGCCGTAATTGCAGCAAATTTACATTTTTAACCCAAAATGACAGCATACTTTTGTTTTTAACCCGTAATTGCAGCAAATTTACATTTTTAACCCAAAATGACAGCATACTTTTGTTTTTTCACAAAATACTCTCATAATTTTGTTTTTTTTTTTTCAGAAAATACCATCATACTTTCGTTTTTTCACAAAATACACTCATACTTTCGTTTTTTTTCACAAAATACCATCATACTTCCGTTATAAACAAATAGTGGCAGCCAAATTTAAGTTATAAACACACAAATCATAAACAATCAACAAATTTCATTCAAAAACATTAAAATTGTTAAGAAACATCAATTGCCTTCGGATACTTGTTAAACATACATTTGAGGAAATGTTCAAATAACCATTCAAATGTCTCTTCCTTTTCATTTTCAAGCAATGCTCCTCCAAAAAGTATAGACTGCCCATGATGATTCACCCTAGTAAAGGGAGCAAAAGGCATCTTGAACTTGTTAGTCATATAATTGACATCAAACACAACAACATCTCTGAATTTTGTATAAGCATCTCTTGATCTACCATCAGCCCAAAAGATATTT